GAATATATTTATTTAATCAAAGTATAAACCATTGTTATTTATGCACTTTTGCTATCTCATAGGTAGTTTATTGATCCCCTTACTAAAAAAAACATTCGGACAGGAATCAATAATTTTTTCCCTTGCAAAAAGTTATCCAAATTTGGCACTTGTTGATGTAATTTTTGAAAACATTTGTGGAAGAAAATAAATAAATTATTTAAAAAATATTATTATTATAATTGAAGCTCTTTTAATTTTGTAGCCGTCTGTTGTGTAATGTGTGTGGTCTAGCGTTGTCGTGAAGTTGCAGTGGCGTAGAGCGATTGACCAGCTTCGGTTGTTTAACTAGTCTTTCCAGCATGGTTTGCAATTGCTGACAATAGACGTCTGCCGTAATCGTTTGGCCAGATTTGAGAAAACTGTAATGAACGACACCGGCACTAGCCCACCAAACGCTTACAAGTAACTTTTTTGGGGTCAATTTCGCTTGGGGCAGGATTTGGCTGGGTCCAACTATTGCGATTAGCGCTTCCGATTATCGTAGAGAATCCATTTTTTATCATAGGTAATTATTTGATTTAAAAACCCTTCATTGTTATGCCGGTTAAGTAATGTTACGCAGCAGTCAAAGCGCATTTGCCGGTTTGCTTCACTCAATTCGTGAGGTACCCACCTTTGAAGCTTTTTAAACTTTCCAATTTGCTTCAAGTGGATTGAAACAGTTTTATCAGTAACACCGCAACCTGCAGCTAAATCGGACGTGGTTTGCGAAGTATTTTAATCGAGTAGTCTTTTATTATAACTCATTATATTGTGTAACAAAATATACGAGTATCTAAGTTTCGAACTTTGTAAATTTCAGTTTTTTAATATGTTAATTAAAAGGAACGGAATTGAATATCTTTGGTCCATTCGTTTCCTGTAAAAATCAACTTTTGCTAGACTCACCATCTGGTAAAGTGCTTTTTAGTGCTTTCTTTTTTTCTTAAAATACTTCCTCATTTGTTTGACAATAGCAAAAAAATTATAATAACGTTAATCAGTGTGTAACAAAACGAACGTTTTTGTTAAGTCTATACATTGCAGCTTTTTACAATATTATGTATGATGTTGTCTAATGTTCACTTAATATATGTATACTTAATATTCGATAGTGTATATTATTTACCACAATTCTTCAAATTTATATCTATCTAGGTACTTGATTTATATCTATCTGTACTAATTATAAAGCTGAGAGTTTGTTTGTTGGAACTCTAATATCTACTAGAACGAATTGATTTTTTTTTTGTGTTAAATAGTCCACATATCAAGGAAGGCTAAAGGCTATATAACATCACGCTATGACGTATAGGAGTGAAGCAACAAATGAGTTTATTAATGTCATTTATAGCAGCAATAAAAATGTTACAGAAACTGGAGAATATTTAACTTTTTTAAAGCTTTCCATGCGTGCGTTGTGTAAACGGTGAGAGTTACGGAAAAATCATGTTTTACGAAATTTATTCTCTTTAAAAGTTCTAAAAAAAAACTGCGGCAGCATATGTCTATCTTATGCCGAAGAAAGCACATAAAGGGATGAAAATGGAAGTGGAAGTTCGTATAGGGCATTAAATCGTTAGGTACCATAATAACCATTGTTTACAATTCAAATTGTCATTTTAATTATATTTCATGTCATTCTTTTCCAAATCCATTATTAAATGATTTAAGCTGTTTACGCAGGATTAAATAATGTTCTGTATAATTTTAATCGGTACAATCTTTGTCGCTTATAATTAATATATATGTTATATTGGTTGAGTACACGAAAATATAAGAAAATAAATCGACCAAAGATAGTCATTTCCGTTCCTTTTAACTAACATATTAAAAAACTGAAATTTGCAAAGTTCGAAACTAAGATATCCCTACGGAAAAGTACAAATAGAAAATGAGTTGTTTATTGAGTTTTGAAATTTAATTAACTTTTATACATGAAAGAAAACCAGAAGGGTTTTTACTTTCTTGATTTCTCCACCATGGAAAATTGCGCGTGTGAACAGAGGCACCGGACGTGGGCTGCGAGGACCAGGTTTGAAAGATGCCATCGGATGGTCCCAAGGATCCACGAAGCTTCGACGACGCCGTGGCGGACCTTGGCGTTGGCTGACTTTCTGATGTGCTGCTGAAGTGGATTGACCTGATTAGGGGTGAGAGGCGGTGGCTGACCGGAGGCATATGCTGATCACGTCGGGTGCTGATCAGCACGTCGGTTGAAGACCACGTCGGGGTTAACATTTTGGCAACTATAATCGGGTCGTAGGCTTGCTTGTCGTTGGGTAGTAGGAGAAAGCAACACAACCAGTGCATGTCAACAGCTACTCGCCACATGTCAACCTTCCCCAGCGCAGCGTTCGCTCACCCGACGCCTGGAAAATAGGATCTCCTGAAATCAATGCCAAAATTTATACAGCATGACACGCCACGTCACACAAGCACTCGCCCCGCGTCTCAGTCCCTTTCCCTCTCCTCTCGGTACTTTCCCCTTCCATTGTAAATATTTTAATTTTCGTCTAATTAAAATAAATATTAAAAAATAAAAATTGGTTTATTGGAACAAATAGTTTAACAAAAGTAAAGTGTGCGATAATAGTCAAAGTAGTTAAAAAAATCAGAAGTGCAACCATTAGCGCCCACCTCCAGGTAACAAATAATGTTATGTTCCTTATTCTATTAGATTATTATCATTATCATTTGTAATAATTATTTGAGTTAATATATCAAAATTATATTTTATCATATTTAAATTTTAATTGATTTAAAATGTTCATTTGTTATTGGTTAAGTTTGTGTTTATATTTTTAAGGAATTTTAATTGGACGGATCGGGCTAAAATTTGGCATACAGGTAGATGTTATGACGTAGGAATCCGCTAAGAGAGGATTTCGATCAATTCTACTCCCAAGGGGCTAAAATAGGGGATGAAGGTTATTATGAAACTTTTTTAATTTTAAACCGATCAGGTTGAGACTCCGTATGTATAAAGCTTCTATGACGTAGGCATCGCCTAAGAAAGGATTTTGATAAATTCCATCACTAAGGCGATAATTACAAGATAAAATGAATAAATATTCGTTTACCACGCAGACGAAGTCGCGGGCAAAAGCTAGTTTTAGTATAAGTATCTGTAAGTAAGACTACGACCCGATTAGAATTTGAACTTACGGGGTGACAGTTACATTATATATTTTTGGGGCACAGAGCGACTATGACATTATATCTAGACAAATATATAATCAAAGGTAAAAAACCTAATAAAATAAGTTATAAAATTCGAAATATTAAACTTTTGGTTATTAGTTTTAAACATATAGGTATATCATTAGTATAATTATTTCCCATGACATTCGATGATTAATCAATCGGTTACGGACAAATATCTCGTCCCGTGACCCACAGGAAAAGATATATCTATTTCCCTTGATTTATGTGTTTCTGTTTAGTGTACATATGTTGCATGGTTGATGTCTGATGAGGACTGTATGTTTAGTAACTGTTGGGTGATGGATGTAGGTTGTGTTTGTTGCATTATTGTTGTTAAGTATGGTTGTGGTGTGGATGACTGCCTGTTTCTGCAGTGTGCATTTATTTGTTCTATAGGTACATATATCTTTTTATGGCTTTACTAACTTCTCCTGTGGCTTCTATTACTATTGGGATCACTGTGGTACAAGTATTCCAGAGACGACCGATTTCGGTTTTTAAAAGGTGGCATTTGCTCAGTTTTTCAATTTCTTTGGCTGCCTACATTATAATCGGATGGTATTGATATATCTATGAGATAGTGCGATTGTTTGTTGAATATATGTAAATTATATCCGGCTTATTATGCATGACTGTTATATCAGTTTGAACAGGTATTTCCCACATGATTTTAGTTGTTACAGTTTCTTTTATTTGCGGTTGTGTGAGCAGAGCTTTTTTCCACTACTGATTTGATACTTCAATATTGTGTTTCATGGCCAGGCACCAATATACATACCGGACCAGTTAATTATGTCATCTGACATAGTATGTATACCCAATAACCAATTTTTATTTTTCACATCCTTTTAATATATGTTGTGCTGTCTCGTCTTTGACGCATAGACGACATTTACAGTCTATCGGTTGTTTTAAAATGTCGCGTTGGTGTTGGCGCGTTGTAATAACTTGGTCCTGTATTGCAAATATCGTTGCTTTAGTAAAAGGTGGTATTGGTGTGTTTCTTAAGCCAGTTGTATGTATTTTCTTTATCTATATTAGCTTGATCTAAAACTGCTCTATCAAATTGTCCACGTAATTCCTTATTTCTCCATTTTTCTAAATGTATATTATATTGTGTTGACTGTAATCCCGTTTCCATTTCTGTTGATTCCTTTACAATTGCGTATTTATTTTTATTTCGATCGTGTTGCATTATTGTTTTCATTAGATGATCATTTTCGTTATCTAAATATTGTTTGTTTAAGTATTTGTACCTTATATATATTCTCTACATTTAATAATCCTCTACCCCCTTCTGCTATTGGTAAATATAATTTTTCAATATTTGTTTTTTGATGTTGAGCTTTATTTATTGCTAAAAGTTTATCATTATTATTATTAAAAAATAGTTATGCCAAAGCGTTTATACCAAACTATCGGCCAGTAGCACAAAAGTCCATTAAAATTTTATTTTGTTTAAAGTGACATTACCCATACACTTTTTGACATTCATTAGAGCTTAAAGACGTCATTAAACCTTAATGGACGTTTGTGCAACTGACCGTTAATTTGGAATAAAACACTATGCTACAAATATTAGACCCCGTTTTAGTATAAGAATATAAAAGATTTCGTTTCCGAATGAAATAAATGTAACTTATCCATATTATCTTAATTTCCTTTCTATTTACAGAGAACTTCCACTGTGGAACTGGGAATGTATAAATGAGAAATGTGTTCCCTTTCGAGTTAATGATTCTAACAAACTGCAAGCATTGGCGACTTGTAATATGCTATGTGCCTCTATACAAATTTGGCCTCAGCCCACAGGTCTAGTGAGCCTTTCCACTACTGCAGTTCCTATTCGCACAAATTTGATACATATTCATATAATCACTGTTCCATCTAAATTAGTGAAGGAACATATTAACGATGCGTTTGAGCTTATGCGTAATGACCTTAAATTTGTAGAACGAAAAGTACGTGATTTCCAAGAGTGGCGGAAACTTGTTGTACGAGTATCATTAAACGGTAGCGCAGATCCTCGAATGCGTTTGTCAACTGACGAAAGCTATAAGCTGACTCTACATCCCATTAAAGGAGGGAAGAAGTCCTTAGTTGCTAATGTGATTGCAAAATCCTTTTGCGGTGTCCGCCATGCTTTCGAGACTCTGTCACAATTGATTTGGCTGGATCCATATCATGACACTCTACTCATTTTGGAAGCAGCAAAAATAGAGGACGCTCCGAAGTTCAATTATCGTGGTCTACTAATCGATACTGCCCGTAGCTACTATCCAATTAACGAATTATTTCGTACTATAGATGCGATGGGAGCCTGCAAACTAAACACCCTTCATTGGCATGCAAGTGATTCACAGGCGTTTTCACTGCGTTTGCGTAGTGTTCCACAGATATCTCGTCTAGGTACTTTGGATTCAGTTGCTGTATACTCGGTAGATGACATACTCGCAGTGATTCATCGTGCAAGATTACGAGGGATTCGCGTTATAATTGAAATTAATACGCCTGGTCACGTAGGCCGTGCTTGGAATGAAGTAATGAACATTCGACATTTAGCATATTGCGTAGATGTCGAACCATGGACTGCTTATTGTAATGAGCCACCCTGCGGACAACTTGATCCTCGTAATACTGATATACACGTAGTCCTTGAAAGGATATATGCCGAAATCATTGAACTGACTGGAGTCGACGATATTTTCCATATCGGTGGCGATGATATATCAGAAAGCTGCTGGGAAGAGCATTTCAATGATACCGATCCAATGACTTTGTGGATAGAGTACACTCATTCAGTTTTGCAACGTCTCGAATATGCCAATGGAAAATTGCCCAATCTCACACTTATGTGGTCTTCACGTCTAAGCGAAACTATCAAGACACATTTTAAGGACTATGCTCATTCATTAGGTCTGCAGTCAAGGAAAGTGGCATGGGCGCATAAACAAATAAGTGGCTTGCGTACAATAATATCTCATGAAGATGCTTGGGATTTTAATAATGGAATGGGGGATTGGTATGAAGAATCAGGTGGTGCACCGTATAATTCATGGCAGCGTGTTTACGAGTACAGACCCTGGTCTCGTAACACAGATTGGCTAGTGGAGGGAGGCGTAGGGACAGTGTGGTCGTCATTAATAAGTAGTGGTGGATTAGATAGTCGTACATGGCCCCGGGCAGCGGCTCTTTCTGAACGACTTTGGACAGACAGACCAGAAGGTGCAACACGACCAGTTCACGCACGCCTTGACGTGTTTCGGACGCGTCTTCTCGAACGTGGTATAAAAGCTGCACCTATCTGGTCGATGTGGTGTACTCATAATACATATACTTGTGTATAATACCAATAATTGATAGGTAACCAATATATATCGTTTTTTTAGTGTTTATATTTTGCATTAGTCATTAACGTAAACCATAGTTTAAGGTAGTAGAATCAAATGGCCTTATAATTTCACCTGGACTCTGCTTGGTTTACCGCATTTTGACTCGCTACTAATGGACACTGTTTCATAATAAATATATAGTAGGCCAATTATTGTAATTATTCATCTCGACTCAGCTGGTTGAAACGAGTTGACGCCAGACTTTTTTTCAGTAGATTAGGAAGTATTTATGAAAAAAAAACAAAAATTTTTTTTTCGTGTTTGAATATGAAAAACACGCAAGAGACTTATTATGAAATAAATACTCGTACTTAAATATTATTTACAATTATAACGCAAAATATAGAAATAACTATCTAAAGGGGTTTCAGAATACAATTGTTAAAGATCTACAAATAATTACCTCGAAATATAGAATCCAGATTAGATTCATATTTAAAAATAAAATAAAAAACGTGCGAGTGACAAAAGAAAACTTAATGAAAAAACAAAATAATTTTAAAATTTATAATGCTGGAAATAAAAACTTTATATTTATTGGAATTAAAATACATACGATTAATAAAGGTAGATTATCAATTTCCCCAAACCTGGAATGCCCCCTTTTATGAGTAGAAAAAGAATTGGATAAGAGTAGTTTTGTTGTATTCCGAAACTCAAATTTAATTATCGTAAGAAAAATCTCACGTCTTTCATTACATTTAAAGTTACATTAGTCTTTATATTACATAGCCCGTTCTAAATACCTATAATTTTAAAATCTTTGCATTAATGTGGCATCTAGTGAGTGAAAGATACCTTATGAGTAAAACATACATACAGAAGACGAAATATTTTTAGTGCAAAACCCTATCATGCCTCCTTAAGGCATGCAGAAATATATTTTTTTGTATATCCTGATGTATCCTAATAAATTAAACGAACAACACTATTATAAATAAACAGCATGATGTGCTAGGAAACGGATATTAGTGTTTAACTGATTTTTGTCTATGGATAGTCTCGTGGCTCTACATGTATATCAGCTTTACACCAACCGAAAATTCATATTCTGAATTTGAAATCTAAGTAATTATCTAAGTAATTTAAAAATATTCAAATTCTAAATGCTGCACTATTCACCACACCATTGAGTTCATTTTGAGTTTTGACTGGGGGTACTTTTTTCGAAACTACCTCTAATCAATCTAAAGGCAAGATACATGAATGATTAAAAAAAAGAATGTCTATGACCAATGTGGCCGCTAGCTCGCAGCGCTTCTGCTGTTGAACGATTCAAGCGTCAAGTTAGTTATGGCGTTTTGAATACAGACGCACGTAAATAGTTGTTTAAATGTTAATCAATGTCAGTGTAATTTATAAAACTTGTTTTTAATATGAGCAGATATTACGATTACGGCAACGCGATATCATGGTAAGTTTTTCTAAGCTGCAAGCGCTCAGACAACCATATTGTTAAAAAAAATGTATACGTTCGTCTCATGAAATAATTTCGTACTTTGTTTACTTATCGATCATCTAAATAATTGAAACCGGCGTAATGCATTGTAGATATAAGATTAATTTCTGTAGTTTATGGTTACCTTTTAGGCCCATTGTAATTCTGCCATAAATTGCGACCCCCTCGGGTAAACGTGGTCATAAGGTTCAGATAAGTTCTGAAAATGATTACTTATCAATTTCGAGTTAGCCCAATTATCAATCTGATATAAACAAAACTCATTGTCAATCAAGCACTGACTAGGCTTTTCATTTACATATAACATTTTATCGATTTTTTAAGGACATTAAATTCATTTGCAAAAAATTGTTTAAGGACATAAAATAGTGCCAGCATTCAATAGTCAAATAAAATAGTTATTTCCTTAAATTAGAATGTTTGGTTTCAACTTTATTTTGCTATAGATATCCACAACTCTAGTTATGTTTGATATTTTTTATATATTAACTAACTATATTATATTAATTTTGTTTAAAAGCAAACCAAAACCATCTCAAGAGTAATAATAATAATATTTCTTTATTTTTCTCCAAAATACAAAAAAATGTACAAATGTATAGAATGATCATTAAAATTTATTGTGGAGACTGGTGCCTGCACTTGAGTGTGAAACCTGTTTTACAGGTCACCAGGCCTCCAGAGCGCTGTGAATCTTGAGATTTTGTCTTTAATGTAGTCATTATTATTAATTATTTCTTGGCTTTAATCTGATATCATTTATCATACTTTAACTAACAGCATGATATTGAATTTAAATTGTGAAATTTTAGTCCAACCTGAAAAAATTATATTTTTGGTTTGAGCTTCGTAGTAGGTATATAATAGTGGTTAGCAAAAAAGTAGTATCATATCCAACATAGATATAAAATTAAACCTTCAGGTGGTCCTAACAGTTTCCTATTTTGTCAAGAGTATTTTATCCTACAATGCCTAGACTTTTCAGAGTTGCTAATATCAATAATTATTCTGGAAAATTTCATTGACTGGACAGTCAACTTATTTCTCTTACATTTAGCTCTTGTCTTTATAATAATCAGATATTTATCAGTCATAAACACTGTTAATGTTCTTTCTCTCCTTAGCAACGCTACTTCACAGCTGCAGTGGAATAATTTTCAATCTAATAAAAATTGGGCCACCAACATTGTTCCAAAACATTATCAACAAATGAGGACATTTGTGGTTTGTTCAGACGTTAGCTAGAGCTGTAAGACATGTTTTAACCATTGATGACTAAAATGAGTAATTATTCAATTGCAGATGTCATTTGGACCTCTTTCCCTTAATTTCAATTCCAGTTTGTGGTGTAAGAGAAATAAGGAGACATGCGGTGCTGATACATTGGCAATGTTGAAGAAATTTTCCAGAAAACAATTCCGTTTGTATAGTTTTCTTATGATGGTTTGTCTGTTTTCGGACTCGTGAATTTCAGTTGACATGAGATGGTCGCACGTCAACAATGGTTAAAACACGATCTTCAGCGAGAGTAGGAAGCGCGGCCCTGAGTGCTCCCACTGAAAATGGAACCAGTTCCGAACTTAGAGCACGACTCAAAGCCACTGAGAACGGACACCGCTCACAAAAGAGCACATCTAGGCAAGTGTCAGTTGTTCTCGCGTTTTCCTCACATCAAGTTGTTAGCATGCCCCAACAAGCAACATGGATTACTGTATTACTATCTGTCACAAAACCAAATGGAAAATTCTTGGGATCGCATTGATGCATGATTTTTAAGGAGGCTTCTGTGGTGGTGGGCAGTAGATTTTAATTGTTAATATAATTTATATTACTAAAACAAAAATAGGGCTATAATTGCTATAGCACTTTGTACATAAACAGAGAGATTTATTAATGCTAAGGTTTTATAATTTTTTGACACAGTATTACTATAAAATATGAATTTTCTGCAATTTATTTAACAATTAATTTTTGTTATCAATTGGAGAAATTTGACCGGTTAGGATAACCTGATTTGAAGGAAACGGTCAAAAATATTTTTTAACTTGTCAAAATCACAAGTTCAGATTTTTACCCACTATATTGTGACATACCCTAACCATTCTAGGAACATACCAAGTAAAAATAATATTCTTTGTATTAAATAGTAGACTACGCATTCTGTGCATAGCAGGCTCTACTCTAGTGTGTGGAGCAGGGTTGCTACTATTTTGAAAAAAAATATAGATATAAAAGATTACAGGAAGAAACTTTTTTTTATTATTTCTACATGCATACACATGCATTGAAATTCTGAGTCAAATTTCTTTTTTTTTTTTTCAACATATATCTGACTGAAACACGGATAAAATCATTGAAAAAGAAAAATAATTGATCAATTCTTCAGCCTATTTAAAAAATATTTGATGAAGGAAAGCGAACGCAGTGCTTGCGTCGTGGCGTGGGGTGGTGAATTTAAAGTTGAGCATGTCTCAAACTAATTAAATGTCTTTCATTTCTAATTTTAGTTTCAGGGCCAGTTTTTTGATCCATAGTCCAAAGTCATTTCACCATTTGTTAACTTGACTATAGTTAAAACATTAACAAGTTGTTAACCCGCTATTTCGTTTTTTGATGCCAAATTCAACCATAGCCAAATTTAACCACTGGTCAATTTGTTGCCAGCACAATGAGTCGTTCTTTCGCTATACATTGACATGGGTAATTTTTTTCTGGGTGACAACACTAACGGTTTGAATGAACGGAGCGAACTATATACCATTTTTGACATTAGGATTTTGTTCCAAATATCAAATAGACATAAGAAATTATAGATTATCAAACAGTGTAGATGTTTATGGTTGTTCTGTTGTGTGCACTATGTTTTAATTTTCGGGAAATATAAGGCAATTTTATAATGTTACAAAGCAAAAAAGATAAAAAGAAACGAGTTATTTTAAATTTAACTTTTTTATAAAAAGCATTTATTTGTCGTTATAAAGCATTTATAGAGAAATACGTGAAAAGAATATATAGGTATTCTAGTATCCAATATGGGATTGTAATGTTGGAAAATAACTCGAGTAATATGTATTTTATATAGTGAGGCATATTTAACTTTTGTATTGTCTATTCGTGGATTTTATAAGATTTTTAATAATTGAATAATTTGAATTAAAAAAAAAAACAAATCTTTATACATATAAAAAATTTGTGTCACGATGTGTGATAAATTCCAAAAGTACTGAACCGATTTCAATCTTATTTCACAATGTACCCGTATTTTGGTCTAACTTACTGGATAGGATAGTTATTATACTATACTATTTCATCCCCTTTGGGATAGAATTCATCAAAATCCTTTCTTAGCGGATGCCTACGTCATAACATCTACCTGCTGGCCAAATTTCATCTCTATCCGTCCAGCGGTTTGGGCTGTGCGTTGATAGATCACTATGTCAGTCAGTCACCTTTGAGTTATATATATTAAGATTAAAGCCTAGTTGCTACTATCTAGGTGCTTTATTTATCTTAACTTATATAGAAGTCACAAGACACAAAGTATTGTTTTTAAAAGAGTAGCTAGAATAAAATATCCCCAAATTGCCACACAATAATATCAGTAGTCTTATGAATTCCCCTACCACCGGAATTTTTAATAGCCGGTTGGATGACGTTGCCAGCCGACCTTTCACTTTGTTTCGAGCGCTCGGACGGGACGGACGTGTTTAGTGCAGTGTGTTGCTAAATCGTTTCCTATTATAGAACTTACAATTTGATTATATTCTTTTGAATGTGAAAATTAAATCGGTTGTTAGAATTATTTAGCTCTTGTTTTTTTAAAAATCACTCGCTTTTCAAATTCTTAAGATCAGAAGTGGGATTCGACACGCTTTTTGATTGCTCGCCATCATAGTGTAACGTTAAGCTTAATTACTGTTAAAAACAACCTCACGTAATTGTTGGTGTTATATAACGTAAAGCGTAATCGGCGTTTGTTTTTTTTTTATAAAAAAAGGGGGGTATCCTACCCGCGCGCGTTTTCATTTCGTATTTTTGTGAAAAAGTGATTTTATAGTTTACAGTCATGTCGGACCGTCGATCAGTTTCAACGAGTTGCATAACTCCACCTATAAGACGAAGTAAAAGAAGTAGTTCTCGTGAGCATAACCGTGACACGCGTTACTGGAGTAGCGATCGTTCTAAACGTCGGGTCGACACTCGTGAGTCACGAGCTAGATCGTCTAGACATCGCAATAGGTCTCCTAACATTGACACGGCTCATAGACATCGCGATAATTCTCGTAGCTACCGCGGAAGTCGTCATAGTGACTCGTTCAATATTGTACTGCAAAGACTGAATGCGATTGAGAAACGACTGCCTGCAACCGAGGTGTCTACCTCAACTCCGTTACCCCGTCCTAGCGTTGGAATCTGCACACCCGTATCGGCTCCCGAGGGCACCGGGGCGCCTGCAACCACGGAGACCTCTGGGATTGTCAATACGTCGTGTGATGACGCCGGGGGGACAGCGGACAGGATTGTTGGCGCACTCTCTACATTATTTAAAGTAAGATCTAAGCATTACTATATATCGAACTTTGATCCGACTATACATGACTTTGACGTGTGGTGCGCGGAGGTGGATCGCGGGCGCGATTTAAATAATTGGGACGACCGCGAATGTCTTGGACGCATTGGTAGTTGCTTGAAAGGTGATGCCAGTTCGTGGTTAAGCGACTGGGTTACCAACGATCGAACCTGGACTAATTTTAAAACAGAGTTTCGAGCACTGTGTCCACGTGAGGTCGATATGGCTACTATCTTGTTTGAAGTAATGAATACAAGTTCAAATAAATTTAGTACATACGCGGAATATGCGCGAAAGTCCCTTATGCGTTTAAATATTGTTAAGGGACTTTCTGAAGAGTTAAAAACCGCTATCGTAATCCGCGGAATTTCTGACATTCAAATAAAAGCCGCTGCCACCAACGCTAAGCTACACTCAAGGGACCTTGTCGAATTTTTGTCTGTGTATATAAAACCTAAAAGTGCACCTATCGTGACCAAGAATCCTGGCCGTTTTCCAGACGTCGGTATACTCAATTTGCGTAAACGCGAACCCTCTAGATATGACCGTTTGATTTGTTTTACCTGTGGCAACATAGGACATAAGCAAGTACATTGCCCTAAGAAATCTAAGTTGGAGTCATGTACCGCGAGCTCACAAATACTGAACTAGAATACCTAGGACGATTAATTGGACATGGTCAGGTACGACCGAGCCCAAGTAAGACCGAAGCTTTAGTCAAGTCTCCAAAACCAAGGAATGTTAGAGAGGTACGCCAATTCTTAGGCCTGGCAGGTTACGTGTAGAGGTACAAAATAAGGGTGTTTCGTGGTCTGATGTGTTGTGGTGGGTGCAGTTGAACTTGAACATAGCCAAGCAGGCAACCACACGTTCTTCGCCCTTACAGCTACTTACTGGAATAGAAGGAACCACTCCAGTTATTAGGCCCTTAGTGCGAGACGTCGCGTTGGACAACTCTCACCCGAATCGTGAGGCGCTGCTTGTGTTGAAAAGGCAGAGAGCAGCCGAACTTTTCAGCTCAAATCAACAGCAGCAAGACGCCTATGTCAACGAAGGTCGTCGGCAGCCCCGTACTTTTGCTCCTGGTACTTTTGCCTTTATTAACAAGGGTGCGCAGAGTACTGGGAAACTGGACTCCGGGACGCGCGGCTCCTACAGGATTGTACGAGCCTTACCCCATCAACGCTTCGAGCTCGACCTTCTCGCGGGGTCATACGGAAAGAAGACTCAGACCGCCGCGGAACACATGGTTCAGTGGCGAGGCGAGTGGACCCCGGACGCATGTGAAGCCTTTTTCGAAAGTGATGAGTCTTGTAAGCCTCGACAATATGGCTATGTTTTTGCTCAGCCTCGACATTATGGCTATGTTTTTGCTCAGCCTCGACATTATGGCTATGTTTTTGCTCAGCCTCGACATTATGGCTATGTTTTTGCTCAGCCTCGACATTATGGCTATGTTTTTGCTCAGCCTCGACATTATGGCTATGTTTTTGCTCAGCCTCGACATTATGGCTATGTTTTTGCTCAGCCCCGACATTGTGGCTATGTTTTCCATGCCCCGACCCTGTGGCTATATTTACGTTGCCCCGACATTGTGGCCTTACTAACTTTGCCCCGACATTGTGGCCTTACTAACTTTGCCTCGACATAATGGCAACCAGATGGTCTCGAAATTTGATTACGTAGCATTACTCCGAACGAAGTATATGGGTGTTGCTTTCACAGTGACCTCGATAGTGGTTATGTGATAGCGACGACACCTGGATCATACTAGTAATCGGCTTTAATGACTTATAGTGATAACAGCTGTTGTCACTAATGAATAAGGTCCAAAATTACGTCATTACTGATAAATTCGTCTACAGTTGGTTGTCTTAGCCTGATCATGGGAGTGCACGCCTGTGGTCTTGTTGAGATGGGTAACTGGAGCCATTTGTTGTTAAAATGAACAAAGAAGCTCAATCGGTGATTGATTTCAGAAAACCATTAACCCGAAGAGGAACCGATTGAGAATGGTTTGAGTACTGAGGCCCCGCCAAGACAAGAAGGCCGTGAAGGCCAAGCTGAC